TTTTTTTTTTTTTTTTTTTTTTTTTTTCTTGAGATGGAGTCTCACTATGTTGCCCAGGCTGGAGTGCAGTGGTGCAATCTTGGCTCACTTTAACCTCCGCCTCCCAGGTTCAAGCGATTTTCCTGCCTTAGCCTCCAAGTACATAGGGCTACACAGGTGGCCGCCACCATGCCCGACTTAATTTTTGTATTTTTAGTAGAGACTGAATATTGACATGTTAGCCAAGACGGTCTCAAACTCCTGACCTTGTGATCCACCCGCCTTGGCCTCCCAGAGTTGGGATTACAGGTATGAGCCGCCGCGCCTGGCTACCAAGTGATTTTCATGCACACTAAACAGGATTAATAAATGAAGTTTAATTGTAAGGATACTTTGTAACCAGTGCTGAGATACAACTAGTATCTTTAGGAAAAAAAGCTGGTACATTTTACTTTGATAAATGTAAAATTTATTTTAAGCAACACTGAGTACCTTATTACCATAAATCATCTTGATGCTGATACCTAAAAAAAAAAAAAAAAAAAAAAAAAAGTTTTAAAGAAAAGTTTTGCTTTAGAGATTCCAAAGAATAAAATATATTTATAGACTTGTAAAAGCACTTATCTGATAAGATTCCATTTGCTTTTATTTCTATGATTCATAGAGACCTAAAAAATAAGAAAATCAACTTGTGGGTTATCAACATTTAACTGATTTCAATAGAATATTCTTCATTTCATAGGAGGCGCAGGAAATTAAGATGACAAATACTATCATTTTGTAAAAATATCTACTTATATCAAAGGAACTTCAAAATATGAAATGCAGCTATTGTTACACCAACAAAGTACAGCTCTTTTTTTTTGTTCTAACTGACCATATGTATGGCGTAACTATAATAAAATCTAAGTAAATACCCCCCCAGAGTTGTTTAAAAAAAATCCTGTACTTCTATTTCAACTGGTGAGCACACAGTAACTACTGAGATGCTAAAGGTATACATACTGCAATCATACTAATTAACTGCAGGATAAAGTAATCTATTTTAAAAACAATAATTGAGAAATGTATGGAGGTTGGATGTGGTGGCTCATACCCATAATCTCAACACTTTGGGACACTGAGGCAGGAGGATCGCTTGAACCCAGGTGACCCACCTGCCTCGGCCTCCCAAAGTGCTGGGATTACAGGCATCAGCCACCGTGTCTGACATACCTCAGTCTTAATAAACATTAATTGCTTATTAACTCTTAAAGGACACAAGAAATAGCACAATTTTTGCCTTTTACAAAATATTCTGTTTAATAATCAAATAACAAAATATTCTGTTTACTTATTAAACCACTAAATTATACCTCTTACCCTCCTTTTAATTAGGGTGTATTTTAAAAAGATACCTTTTTGTATGTGGCTGGTTAAACTAAAAAAACAAGCAAGAAAAAAAAAAAAGCCGAGTGTGGTGGTGTTCACCTGTGGTCCCAGCTACTCATGAGGCTGAAGTGGGAGGATTGCTCGAGCAGTGCTGCAGTGTGCTATGATAGTGCCTTTGAATAGCCACTGTACTCTAGCCTGGACATCATAGTGAGACCTTGCCTCTAAAAAGTAAAAAAAAAAATGGCCAGGTGTGGTGGCTCACGCCTGTAATTTCAGCACTTTGGGAGGCCAAGGTGGGAGCATCACGAGGTTAAGAGATGGAGACCATCCTGGTCAACATGGTGAAGCCCCGTCTCTACTAAAAATACAAAAATTAGCTATGTGTGGCAGCACGTCCTGTAGTCCCAGCTACTCGGGAGGCTGAGGCAGGAGAATCGCTTGAGCCCGGAAGGCAGAGGTGAGCCGAGATGGCGCCACTGCACTCTAGCCTGGGCGACAGAGCAAGACTGTCTAAAAAAAATAAATAACAAGGCCAGGAGCACTGGCTCTCGCTTGTGAGCCCAGCACTTTGGGAGGCCAAGGTGGGTGGATCACCTGAGGTCAGGAGTTCATGACCACCCTGGCCAACATGGTGAAACCCCATCTCTACTAAAAATATAACAATTAGTAGCGAATGGTGTCAGGCGCCTGTACTCCCAGCTACTTGGGTGGCTGAGATAGAAGAATTGCTTGACCAAGGAGGGGGAGGTTGCAGTGAGCTGAGATCGTGCCACTACACTCCAGCCTGGGTGATGGAGCAAGACTGTCTCAAAAACAGAGATAACAGAGGGAAAAGAAGAAAGCCATCCATATTCCCACAACCCGCAGTAACTATGTTAGGATTTTTTATTTTTAGTTTTTGCTTGCTTCCATGGTTTTTTCTTTTTCTTTTTTTTGGGGGGGAGACAGGGTCTCACTCTGTTGACTGGGTGAAGTACAATGGCAGGATGAAAGTTCACTGCAGCCTCGACCTCTTGTGCTTAAATTATCCTCCCTCCTCAGCCTCCTGCGTAGCTAGAATCACAGGCACGTACCATCATGCCTGGCTAAGTTTTTAATTTTGTTTTGTTTTGTTTTGTTTTTTTTTTTAGATGAAGTTTCGCTCTTGTTGCCCAGGCTGGAGTGCAATGGCGCGATCTCAGCTCACCGCAACCTCCGCCTCCTGGGTTCAGGCAATTCTCCTGCCTCAGCCTCCTGAGTAGCTGGGATTACAGGCACGCGCCACCATGCCCAGCTGATTTTTTGTATTTTTAGTAAAGACGGGGTTTCACCGTGTTGACCAGGATGGTCTCGATCTCTTGACCTCGTGATCCACCCGCCTCGGCCTCCCAAAGTGCTGGGATTACAGGCGTGAGCCACCGCGCCCGGCAGTTTTTAATTTTTTTTTTAAAGAAACTGGCTCTCCCTATATTATCCAGGACGGTCTCAAACTCCTTAAAAGTGATCCTCCCACCCTGTCCTCCCAAAGTGTTGCAACTACACATGTGAGCCACTGCCCAGTCCCCATTGCTTTTACAAAGTATGCACTTAAGTTATGTGGTATGTTCATATGTACCTATATATTTACTGTCCCTCCTATATTTAAATTAAAACATTACAAATAAAATAGTCCTTCTTTGACCACTCAACTACATCAAGAGGTAATTATTAAAGTGTATCCTTCCAGTCCATACATCTCTTTAAAATAAATACTAGTATAATGTGGTTAACACACAAAGATAGTTGATGAGTAGGATTCCTTACTCATATATCTCGGATTTGTCTTTCAAGTGTATGATTTGGACTTATATTTGATTTCTACTACAAGGAATCACAAAGTTTTGAGAAAAATTCAGGTAAATAAAGAGTTGAACTGAAGATCCATATGGAAATGGAATTTTTTTTTTTTCCAGAAAAAGCCAATGGGATTCAAGACTAATGTAATATAGGAGAATTATTCTTAAAATAGCACTAAGGAAATACTGATAATTTGGAGAAAAGGAAATAGCATAGGAAAATCAGACGTAAAAATATGGTAATATATGATTTTCAGTAGGTCTGACTGGTTTGAGTGTCAGCAGCAATCAAGTGATAGCGGTAAAAATTCAAGGCAAACGCTTCGATGCCTACAATGTATCACATCACCAAGGAAGATTAAAATTTAAAAAGTTAAGTAGGATATAGTTCTTTCCCTATTAAGAAAAGCAGACACTAAAAATTACTGGCCAGGTCTATTAAAGCCGTGTATACAAGCTGGGCACAGTGGTTCACACGTGTAGTCCCAGCACTTTGGAAGGCCAAGGTGGGTGTATCACTTGAGGTCAAGAGTTGGAGACCAGCCTGCCAACATGTTGAAACGCCATCTCTGCTAAAAATAACAAAAATCAACTAAGCATGGTGGCGCGTGCCTGTCGTCTCAGCTACTCGGGAGGCTGAGACAGCAGAATTGCTTGAACTCGGGAGGCAGAGGTTGCAGTGAGCCAAGATGATACCACTGCACTCCAGCCTGGATGACAGAGTGAGACCCTGTCTTGGGAAAAAAAAAAAAAAAAAAAAAAGATGTACATACATATACTTGCCTGTCTATACTGAATTACAAATATGTGTGCTTTGGGGAGGATGACATAAATTCTGACAAATATGGAAGGGAATTTGGGAACATTTTCTGGACACTTTTAGTGGAACAGCCCTCCAATGAGTGAATTCAGAAGAAAAGTATATCAATAATTAGGAGCAAAAACCTTCTGAGAGGCTATTTTTTTTTTTTTTTTTGAGATGGAGTTTCGCTCATTACCCAGGCTAGAGTGCAGTGGCGCGATCTCGGCTCACCGGAACCTCTGCCTCCTGGGTTCAAGCAATTCTCTTCCTGCCTCAGCCTCCCAAGTAGCTGGGACTACAGGCGTGCGCCACCATGCCCGGCTAATTTTTGTATTTTTAGTAGAGACGGGGTTTCACCATGTTGACCGGGGTGGTCTCGATCTCTTGACCTTGTGATCCACTCACCTCAGCCTCCCAAAGTGCTGGGATTACAGGCGTGAGCCACCGCGCCCGGCGAGATACTAATAATTAAAACAAAGTAGACTATGTAAAAATATGTAGGATAGAATTGACATTGATAATGGAAATGTATGCAACAGACAACTTTCTCAAAGTGTGGCTCAAAGATCATCTAAGTCAGAATTCTACAGATTTGAATTCACTAGGTCTGAAGGATCCAGGAATCTGTATTTTGAATAAGCACCTGATGTAATTCTTATGAATACTCTAAAATTTGAGAATCACTGATTTGGAAGCAGGTTACTAAAAGGAGAACCGGGTAACAGAAAAAGTTACTTAAAAGGTTTAAAGAGACGACACTTAGGGCCGGGTGCAGTGGCTCATGCCTATAATCCCGGCACTTTGGGAGACTGAGGTGGGTGGATCACCTGAGGTCAGGAGTTCGAGACCAGCCTAGCCAACACGGTGAAACCCTGTCTCTATTAAAAATACAAAAATTATCCAGTTGTGGTCGTGGGCACCTATAATCCCAGCTACTCGGGAGGCTGTCACAGGACAATCACTTGAACCTGGGAGGCGTAGGTTGCGGTGAGCTGAGACTCTGCCACTGTACTCCAGCCTGGACAACAAAGCAAGACTCCATCTCAAAAAAAAAAAAAAAAGAGAGAGATGACACTTAGCTAAATGGGGGATGAAGCAGTAGGGGATGATGGGTACTGAGAAAAAATTTTTTTCATGTTTAAGAAATGCACGTCTCAGAAATAGCAGCATACAACTAAAATGAAAAGAAAAGCGGGGGGAGGGGGAGGTTTGGGATGGGGGTGGGAAGAATCTGGCAGAAAATTTACAGGGATGGTTTCAAATATTTTACAATTCAACATCAGCTCCCAAGGAAGACAACATACAGATGTTTGTAGAACACTTCCAACATGTGAGTGGACAAAGAGCCAGGGTGCCAATTATGAAGAAATCCTGTAACTATTCACTAATGGTCAGGGATTAAGGCATCTTTCATATTTTACTGACAGGTCAAAAAAGAGAAAATCAGCTCTGACTTAATGCAGACCAAGTCAATTTGGTCAAAGAGAATTTTATAGAAGAGCTTTGGTTCCACTATTGCAAAAGAATGTAACACAATATTCCCTACCAGAAATATTAGAATTCAGGATTACACTGAAACCATATTCTACTCCCACATTCTATAAATATCTAATTGGAATTTCATTTCATAGGATAAAAACTGACAGAAAATTCATCATTTATAACTAGATGTTCTATT